GTTTTTGGCCTTAACCCTCCCACTGTCCTAATGGGTGTGACCCCGCGAGGAAAGTTGACCATTGAACAGGGTTGATGGTTTATCCCTTGGGTCCATGTGGCAGGGGTGAGGTGGTGCTCACACCTCACCCCTGCCATGTGGACCATCAATCCTGCTCAATGGTCAACTTTCCTCGCGGGGTCACCCACAAAGACAGTGGGAGGGTTAAAAGTAAAATTTTATCTATTATCAGCTACAAGGGCAGGGATTTGGGTCATGCTTTCTGCAGTTCTGTTTGCTGGATTTAGTTTAAATTTGTTTAAATTTGTGAATGACTCACATATCAGCTTTGTAGTAAAAATCAGTAAGGGTTTGCGGTTGAAAAATAAAATAATTAAAAGAGCGGTTAATAAAATATTAACACTTTTAATTAGACTTAATCATTCACTTTACAAAAAAAAAGATTTCTGTCCTCTGGAACATAAAAATGCAGTCTTCATCAACAGCCTGCTGGACATACAATGCTCTGCTATTCTTGAAATGCTGTTGAGTGTCATTCAGAATCACTCAGGTGGCCACAAGTGGCCCTTGAACCACACCTTGGACCCCTCCCTTGTATGCTGTTGTTGTGTACTGGACCGTCTCCGGGTCACCTCTTCCTTATTCTAACATCCAGATTGAATTTTTAAAAATCGTTCTCATTGCACTTAGATTTATACACACATGTTTGTGTGTGTGTGTGTGTGTGTGTGTGTGTGTGTGTGTGTGTGTGTGTGTGTGTGTGTGTGTGTGTGTGTGTGCGTACGTGCATGCATGCGTGTGTGTGTGTGTGTGTGTGTGTGTGTGCGTGCATGTGTGTGTTTGTGCATGCGTGTGCGTGTGTGTGTGTGCGTGCATGTGTGTGTTTGTGCATGCGTGTGTGTGTATGTGTGTGCGTGCGTGCATGTGTGTGTTTGTGCATGCGTGTGCTTGTGTGTGTGTGTGTGTGTGTGAGAGAGAGAGAGAGAGAGAGAGAGAGAGAGAGAGAGAGAGAGAGAGAGAGAGAGAGAGAGAGAGAGAGAGAGAGAGAGAGAGAGACTTGTGTGGCTTTAAGAGTTTACCGGAGGCTCAGGTGTAATTTTCTAAGTGATTGTGTTGCAGACTCAGGACACCCACTGTGAGCTGAAGCTGGCCGACTCAAATCCGCTATGGTATCTGAAGGTCATGAGCATGTGTGTGGATTACCGCAACGTGATGTGAAGAAAATTAAAACCAATCAGAGATGTAGAAGTTATTTGTTTATTTAATATTTATTATATCTGGTTTTGTATCAGTTTACTTCTGTGAATTATAACATGAATAAAAGAAAATGTGACACCAAGTTGGAGTGCATGAATTCAGCATTGATGATGGTAAACTTTAAAGTTGTTAATGAGGAGAAAGTAATTATTTACAAATGATGTCTCTGCCAGCAGCAGTGTGCCTCTTAACTGATTTATAACGTTAGGTAAGAAGAGCCATCAGAGTTTAAACAGCTCCTCTTTTGCAAGTGTTCTTTTCTTTCTAACTAAAGATGCAGCACTTTAATATTTAAACCCGTATAGCAGTTTAAACATTTGTTAAATTTGTTTTAAATAACATGAAAGTTGCTGCGTGCCTCGTTACTGCAAGAGGAATTCAATCTCTGTGGCTTCTCTGATCATTTCCTGTGGAGATGAAAGCCTGATAACAGCCATCAGCAGCTTTGAGGAGTTTTCATCTTTGTCATTTCTCACAAATGCTGCAGATCGCAGTAACAACTAATTCCACCCTGCTGTGTTAGTGGTACTGAAACTGTCAACCAGAGGTCGGCATTTAGGGGTGTGAAAATAGCTCAGATCATGGGTTTATGGTGAAGAACATTAGAGTAGTTGTGCAACCGAATGGCCTGTATTTGATATGGCGTCTTCTAGAGTCCTAAAACCCCCCAAGGCACTTCACAACACAATCAGTCATTACCCAATTCACACACACACATTCACACCCTGGTGGTGTTGAGCTACACTGTAGCCACATCTGCCCTAGGCAGCAGGGCTGTTTCAAGGTATTTGGGGGCCCAAGGCAAATGGACTTCAACCCCCCCACCTGTCAAAATTAACCTTAACACCAACCCTCCCCCCACCCCAAAAGAGAGCCAAAATATGGGCACACTGTTTATGATTGTATTAACGTTTTATGAACTAAATGCCGTAAATCCTCTAATACAGGCCCGGGCCTGTATTTGACTCAAGCTCATCAAGCTCCAGGCCTTTATTGGAAGGAGGGCCAGAATTAGAGGCAGGCCTCAATTTCTATTTGAGCAAAATGAACTAATGGTTCGCTGGAGTTTTTGACAATTAAAATTGCGCCCACATTTTCAAAGTTAAACACATTTCTTTTAACAACGGTAGTTTCTGCTTCAGCCCTCTCCCCCCTCCCCCTGCGCAGCGGCGGCAAACTCACTGATGCGCCTGCAGCCTCTCAGAGTTTCTGCTGCTCTAAACATTAAAATAATTATTTCATTTTATGTTCCTCACTTCTGATTACCTTCAATGGTGTCTGTTTGTTGCAACCAGGTACAAAAACTAACTTGTTTTTATTTGACTATTTTTCTGTCCTGCCTGTTTATTATCTTCCTGCATCTCCTCTAAGTCCTAAAGAGAAACTGCTACCTGGGTTCATATATATTCACCTTATGAGTTACCTTTGAACTGCAGTTCTAAAAGATCTACCGACCGCAAAAACAGCGGAGTGTGCACTGCTTGCCGGCCACATCAGTTAGATGCGTCACCGAGGACAAAACAGGTGATGCGCCCCGATCCACAGCAGCGAAACGCATCAGGCACAAATGAAAGACAGAAAACTTAAAAGGAAATGAGCCGACATGAACAATCGCGTGTTAAATTAGTTTTTGAGGTGGCGACACCTGATTTGATAATGTTACTGTGGCCGTGCTCAGGACGCAGATGTCTGGAGCGCGTCAACAATCAGAGCTTTGCATGCGCAAGCTGGTTAAGGTTAGGATGGGGTGAGGGGAATGTTAAACAAGAGGGTAAAGGTCACAATTTGGGGTGTCAGTACCGACGCTCTGGCACAGCGCGGCGCCCCCCCCCCCGACACACAGGAGCTTGTCACCTGCTGACAGCAGGCTGCTGTCTTTTCCGTGAACTGCATCTTGCCGGTCATTATCACGTGACAGCGACTAGTCGATGACAGGCATAAAAAGTCACTATAGAGCGGTGAAGTCGACTAGTGACTAGTTCATACAACCCCTGCTACTGCTCCCCAGAGTGTTCTGCAGCATAATCAGCACGTTCTCTTTGAACTTGATATCAAATTTTCGCCTCCTCTTCGTCTCCGCACGGTTAAAGTCACCCTCGCGGACCAACCAGTGCCAGATCATCACTGGCAAATCAAAAGTGAGACGGATGACACAACTGCCCCCCTGTACTTGCTTGTTACCACATTCCACCCGGCCACAATAAAAAACCGGCCATTATTCACCTCTGCCAACTCCAACACCGGCCAAAATATGATACTCGGCAGTTAATTAAATACAGGCTAATATTTGAGGATTTACGGTACCTTTAGTATAATGCAAAATGGTTTACGTATCTTGCACGATACTGCATGCATAGTAATGTTTACATTTGCAAAAACCCTCCACCATCCCATAGCAACAAGCATATAAAGAAATTGCAAACTGCAAAAAACAAAACAAAAAAAGTCAGATGAGATATAAAATGCAATGGATGTGATTTGCACTGGTCCTTTTGTCACAATTTGAAGGTGCACACACTAGCAGTCAAAAGTCTTGGCCAATGCACAGGAAAATCAGTCATCAATATTGAGCCTGTGGTACCACTGGAGGTTGTTTCTCCAGCCGGCCGGCTAGCCGTGCAAAAATAAAGATGAGGATGCATCTCAATTCAAACACGTAATGCATTAATATTCATTCAAGGTATGTTCAGTGTGTTCGCTAATGAAACACAACTGGGGTGCATGTCCTCATTGTAGCTTTTTGCACGTTTGAAATAAATCTTTATGCCACAAAAGACAGGACAGTCAGGGAGGAGCCACAAGTCCAGAGAACAGAAGCAGGAAGAGGTCTTCACAGAGAAAGACTGCTGTAGCATGAAGACTTTATTCTACAGGCTATTGCTGGCTTTTGCGTGACCTTCTTCACCACCCTCTCCTTATTCTGATCTTATTCCGGCTTCCCCGGGATTCGTTGATTTCCCTCTTTCCTATTCATTTTCTTTGTATCTTTCCTTACACTTTTTTTCTTCTCCCTTTTATGTCATGACTCCCAGACTACCTCCTCAACCAAGCCCTCAGCCACTTATCACCTGCGCCCTGTCATCAGCTCATGCCGCACACCTGCCTCCTCTGCTATGTAACACCCAGCCTGCTCTCCAACCAGCGCCAGATCATTGAACGCCACAGCTAGTAAATTCTCCAGCCTTCCATCCATCGTCTGTCTCACGTATCTCGACCTGGTTCTGTCTCCCGGATTCTCGCCTCGCCCCTGCTTTGGACCTCTGCCTCGTTCCCTACCACGCTATTAGATTTACTGGATTATCGGCAAAGGATCTGTCCCCTGACTTCGAGCTCTCGCCTGCCTCCTCGGATCTCTCGCCGTCATCTCTGGTTCTGACCACGCTTCCACCTCACTAAAACCCAGCCCTCTCTCTCTGCAGTGTTGTTGACAAACTCCTGAATTGTTTTAATAAACATTTTAAACGTCTTACTGTGTTCAGTGTCCTCATGGGTCCTACATCCAAGCTCAGGTCATTTTAAACATATTTTTGAAATTGTTTTATACTTTATTTTTGAGATTTTTATCTTGAAAGGTGCTATATAAAAGATTGTCTTCTTCCGACAGTTACGCTCACACAGGCAAGTATTGGTGAGTGGCTGTGTTTGACTGTTGATGCTCAGTGTGTTTTATTTCTACAGTGAACCAAATTCACCTCACACTGCCCAGAGTTTGTTCTTTAAAACACAAAAGTAGCACTAAAAAATGTGACTGATCCAGTTTATTTTGGACCTACCTGGGGGGCTGGAGATTGTGTGATAAACAATGGAGGCATGAAGCATGTTTAATCAAAGAGCTCATTTAGAGAGCTTGCACCAATACAATAATAGCACTTCCCTTCCTCACTTGGGCCATATCATTCTATAACACAACACAGGAGGGAGGAGGGTGCTACCATTAACTGAACATCATCCCATAACACCCCCATCCACCCCTTTTTTTGTGTGTTATTAGGTAACATCTCAAGTGCATTTTAGTATTTCACAGCATTACAACATGAACTCATATAAATGAACAATATTCCATTTTTTTAACAACAGATACTGTCTACAGTCCTTGCTATAGGTTCAGTTTTTTTGGCACCCGCTGTTCACTGTGCTGCTTGTGGCATAGCTCTGTCCCTCCAACCTCTGCTGGCCGTAGATCGACGTGGTTTTGCCTGTAGTATGTTCCTTCCACATCCACCAGGTACAATCTGGGACCCACTAGCTGCATAAAGACTCCTCTTCTCCACTTGCCTGTCCTGTGTCGGGGCAAAGGCTTCATCATGTCATGTCCGATGTTCAACTCAGGCAGATCTCTGGCTGACCTGTCATACCAGAGCTTTGATGTTTGACCCGCAGTCTGTCTAGAACCCCAGTGATCACACTTGGCTCCAGGAGCGCATCAGCCTTTGGAAGTGGGGTCCTCAATCTGCGAGACATCAGCCTCTGAGCTGGGCTGCTTGACATGCCCTCAGATGGTGTCACGATACGAGCTAGGAGGTGGTTAGAACCCAAAAATGCAGAACCCAGGATGACACGAGGGAGAAGTGGAGATAAAGTAAAATCCTTTTATTTAGGATGAATGAAAACAAAAATAAATCCAAAAGGGCTGCAGCCAAAACTGCAAAATATCCAAAAAGCTGAGCTGGAGATCCAAAAACACAAGAAACTAAGAGACACTGGAAGCACTAGAGATAACGCGAGAAGAGAGTGACAGAAGCACAATGGACCAACACAACACTGAGACAAGGAGAGGGTTTTATACACTGGGGCTGGAGTGATAGGAGACGAGGAGCAGGTGTGTGGAGAACTGGCACAGGTGAAAACAATAACTGAGAGGAGGAGCAGAAAGGAGCAGGGGAGGACACCAGACCTGACTGGCGAAGGACACACACACACACACACACACACACACACACACACACACACACACACACACACACACACACACACACACACACACACACACACACACACACACACACACACACACACACACACACACACACACACACACACACACACACTTTCTAGTTTCTTCTTCTCAGCAGGAACATAAGGAAGATGGTGCTGAGCAGAATACAAAGTGTGCACACGGTGGGAACAACGATCTCGGTCACCATCTCCATGTGGCGGTCAGCGGGTCTGCAAAACACATTTAAACTCATTAAAAACAAACATTCAGTGCTGACAGTTTACAAAGCTAGCGTTAGCGCTGAAGCACAACACTCAAAGGGTTAACATTTCTCACCTAAATCAGATTTTATGTGATCACGAGCGATTCCTTACCATGTATAAGTCTTAGAATATCGACAGCAGTACTCCGCTGTTCCTCTAATGAAAGAAGAGAAAATACTCAGAAGGGATTAGCGGCAATTTAACCCTTGGTGGACTGCATGCAGCCGGTGGGAATAGGTCAGGAAGCAGTGACATTTATGCAAGCAACAAAATTATACGTTGTTAGAAAGCATAGCTAACGCTGAAGGCGTTATGTCATCCTGATTTGTGAAATATGTTTGTCAAAAATACGTACTTGATCAGATCTCAGCATGCTTGTAAGAAAAACCATGGAAAGTGGTGTTTAGTTGCAAAAATGTCAGTCTGTTAGTCAGATTTCTGACAACACAGTCAAAAGCAAACAAAAATAAAAACCAATGGCACTCATGTCATGCATGTACCCTGAAGTTCTAGACTTCATCATGCAAAGGCCAAACCTCTGGCATCTCTGCATGTTCCTTGGATTCTCTTCTAGAAACCTCTGGCATCTCTGCATGTTCCTTGGATTCTCTTCTAGAAACCTCTGGCATCTCTGCATGTTCCTTGGATTCTCTTCTAGCTGGAGGGCAAACAAAGAAGATATCTCAGATATTCTGCAGGTTTAGAGTTTACATCAGTCTTGTTACTGATAATTAGCTAAAATGTGCTCTGATGGGTTTAAGCAACATAAACACACATTTTAGTCCAATTATGATAATTGTTGTAATAATCGTTTTTATATTTGGGCCAGAATCTTAATTTGTTTACCCAGCTAGTTGTTTACCTTGAGTGGTTAAAACTGCAGGTGGGTTTGGTTTAGTTATAGAAAGATATCTCATTTTAACTTAAATGTTTTGTTAGAAATATCAGGTTTTAGGTCAATTCTGTTTAAATAGGATGCTTTGCTGCCCCCGTGTGGTCAGAAATATACAATCAAAACGTTGCTTGTTTCCGGTGTCGCCTCTAAAAATCACGGGTTCGTTTTCTTTTAAATTAAATAAAATATCAGCAAAGGTGTTTTATTTTGGCAAATGCATAGCTCAAGGCAAGTAAATCAGATTTTCTCTAGATTTATTTTGAAAAGCTCAATCATGAATAATTCAACCGTACATCTGCTCTGCTAGTAGCAGAGGTGGAAAGAGTACTAAAATTTCCTAATTAAGTACGAGTACCAATACTTTGACCATTTTTACTCAAGTACAAGTAAAAGTACTTGCCTAAATTTTTACTCAAGTAAAAGTAAAAAGTATCATAAATAAAATGTACTCAAAGTAAAAGTTACTTACATTTTTGTCAGCGTAAGGATGGCTACATCTAAGTAGTGCAAAATCACAACGCCAGGTCACAGTTCGCTCGTGTAAAGGCACGCAGATAGGGTGGGGGTGGGGGGGATCTGTCCCCCTCAGATTCAGATCGACCCTGATCCGTCCCCCCCAACTAAGGCTACAAAGAAAACAAAATCGGAGGTTAAGCGCTTGAAGCTCCTTTTTCAATTACACTGAATGCAGCATGACATAAACAAACAGACTACAGAGGCGCCAAAGGAGTTGTTGCTAGGATGCAGGATGAAGCGAAAAAGACAAGCAACGATTACTGCGTATTTAAAAAAGACCAACAGTGTAAGTAGGCGGGACCGATCTGTCTGTTTATGCATGTTGGTTCTAGTTTCAGTACATTGTTGTCAGTGTTGGGGCTTACTCGTTTTAAGCACCAAAGCCTCATTGCTGACTTTAACAAGTCTCATCTACAAATATGATCCCTCATGAAGTTACTACTTTACACCAGAAGATAGTGGAGATGTGGAACCTTCAGGCTGAGCAAAGTTTGGGAGTTTTTAGAGTTTGAAAAACGCCTCCCGCCGAGAGGCTCCCAGTCAGGGAGAGGAGGAGATGCGCGCAGCATGAAGAGCGTAAATATTGGCTAAAACGTATAATTGCCGGCAGGTCTGGTCTTTGTTGACTGATCACTTTGTCTGGTAATGACTGACTCTGATTATGAAGCAGAATATTGACTCTGATGAAGAAATTCACTCATCCAGCTGGGACGATTGATGCTGCTGCAGCATCAGACAGCTGGTGCTGCACGAGAGGTGTGTGGAGTTTACAAGCTCCAAACGTTGGGTTTGATGTTGGTTTAACCTTCTCTGGGACGTGATGGATGTAGAAATGATGGTAAAACACCGCTAACGTGACAGAAGTAGCGACAATGTAAAAAAAAAAGTCGTAAAATAGAGGCAGAGGCAAATGCGTTATATATGGAAGTCAAGAGTGCCACATAATCAATAAAAAAAGTAAAATATAAAATTTTAAGAGATTTATATATATAATGTAAAAATACGAAGGAACATTTGTTGGTCAGGCTGAAAAGTTTGGGAACAACTGCTCTAAGTGATAGGTGAATCTCGTTTTTAAAATATATTTTATGTGCAGTTTTTTTTAGGGCTTTTATGTTTTCTGTAAAGATTGGTATGCTGAAAATCATTTAATGTTTAGCATAAAGCATGAGGTTTTGGTTAGTAATTGATTGGAAGAACAACAAATGACTGAATTAAATAGTGGGGCGCGTCTGTCAGTGCGCCCCAGGGCAGCTGTGGCTACATCGTAGCTCATCACCATCATTGTGTGAATGTGTGTGTGAATGGATGAATGATACACTGTAGTGTAAAGCGCTTTGGAGTCCTTACTCTGAGAGGCGCTATACAAGTACGGATCATTTATCATTTATAGTGTTGATCAGGCAGAGCTTTGTTGCCAGCGTTCCACTGCATAATGGCTTCAAACACGTAGATAAATGTTAGTTTTTACATAAACCATTGGATGAAATTACACAAACTGACTGAGCTCTAGTTAAGGCGCTTGCAATAGTTTGTGTGTGTGTGTGTTTGGGGGAGGGTACATTGGAACTTTGTCCCCCCCCCCCCCCCCCCCCCCCCCAGTTTGAAAATCCTATCTGCGCCCCTGCTCGTGTGCGCACACACACACACACACACACACACACACACACACACACACACAGGCTGTGCACAATGATCGGATGAGTTTTTTCTAGGGTTGTACGTTTCAATTGTGATTAAAATTATTTTTTATGTTGAGAAAAATATATACTTTTTTAGATGTCATCAGTATGTGAGCTATCAATGTTTTCATGACAAAACTAACATGAGACTGTGCTCTAACCTGTCACATAACATAACAAGCCAAATTAAATTCAAACATTTCAAACGGACCGTATGACAGCCTTCTAACGATGGCCCTGCCCTACTTTACCTCTACATTACAGTTCCTTTATCCGTGTCCATCCTAGAGCTCCTCTCTGACTTTTAAAGTTAGCAGAGTTCATCCTTGGTAGTGGGTTCACTCACTCATGTAACCCTTCACCACTGAAATCAGTTTGTTCATTCCAATCCTCCTAAATAATCCTCCAATCATCCAACTGGAATCCTTAAGGGTCCCGTAACGTCCATCCTGTCAGAACAGGCCTTGGGAGCCCAGGTGTTACTAGAACTAATGGTGTCTCCTCACCAGCGTGAGCCTCCAAACTGTGAAGGTTGGTCTCCAAACATGAACTTTAAATTCATGCATTTATCTCCTCTTGTAACACTTTAACATGTTTTAAAAGGCTTGTATCATGATATGTTACACCTCCCAGACCAAAGATCGGTACAATATAAGGTAAAACATTATCGTAGACACTATTGAGACGTCATTATTTAAATAGAAGTTATTTTTGTTCACCATAACTTCAACCAAGAAATAAGATGTATGGATTTGATGAAACCACGTGGTGTCATGCAGTCCTATATGTGTAACACACACACACACACACACTCACACACACACACACACACACACACACACACACACACACACACACACACACACACACACACACTGCAGCATGTTAGAATCATTTGAATGACTAATTTAACTACACTGAACTGCTTTTGTAATAATTTAATCTCTTATTCTGGAGTAAAATAAAGAAACAAGCTAAATCATCACATATCTGTGGCATCAAGGAGCATCTTCTGAGTTCAAACACAGGGATGGAGCACAATGTTTACACCTGAAATAGTATCAGGATTCCATGCTTTCGTTCTTTTTAAACACGGAGACAGTTTTGTTTACCTGTTTTGTAGCTACAGTTTCGCCGACACAGCAAGAACACACCTAAGATGTTCAAAGAGTATCAGGATGTTTTAACCATACTCACGGAGGCCTGCAGGTGTTCTGTTTTATGAGCAAAGCGCTGATAATCCGCTCGTAATGAGCGCTAAACGTTATTTTGACGCTGCCGTGCGGAGCGGTAAGGAAACACATTTCAAACACGGAACCGAGTCCGGCGCTACCGAACCGAGCAGAATTCTGATGACGTCACACCGGTGCGCGAAGGTGCGAGTTCCAACCCACAGCAGAGGAGGGAGACAGGAGGTAAACAGTGAGTGTGGATCACAAGGACAGAACTGAGGTTTTTGAGCAAAACTGCGGTAAAAATGGCAGTTTGTTCTCATTATCAAGTGTACCCCCCCCCCCCCCCCGGGTTTAGACGCTGCGCTCGTGCAGGTGTCTCTTTCTGTTCCGGTCGACGCTGCGACATGCAATATTTTTAATTTATTAAGTTTACAATTTATTTTTACTCAGTAACGGATATGATTTAAAATGTAGCGAATTACAATAGTTTTTTTTTTATAAAATACTTAAGAAAAAGTAAAAGTACAGATTTTCAAAACGACTAAAAAAGTATGAATACACAAAAAACTACTCAATTACAATAACGTGAGTAAATGTAATTCGTTAATTTCCACCTCTGACCGGGCATAACAATTTTGTTGACCACAGAGATTTGCACATTTACATAATACTGTTCCTGTACCTGGTGTAGGGTGGCTGAAACAAGTTGACGCTCACGCGGATGCTGACGCAGACGCTGGCTAGTCCCGCGATACTTGCATGAATGCACGTGACGCTCTGGAACGTTGTTACGTTGCAGCTTTGATGACGTCACTTTGTGACTTCATCACAGACTACACCACACTCAGCTACCATTCCGAGACATTGTGACTTGCTCTCAGCAGAGAATTTTTTCTCCTGTCTTCAACACTTTGTTTCTTTGTAGCGTTTTAGCAAGTGTGTTTTACAGTCAGTATTATTGCTGTGTTTCTATAAACCATTAATCCAATGGCACAACAGAAAACCACGGCGACTGCCCAACAGGCCTCCATGGACCAAGTTACACTTCTGAACGAAGTCCACAGGCTGAACGCTCTTTTAAACACCGAGAGAGCTAAATGGTCTCACGAAAACCAAAGAGCTTCTCAACTGGAGCAAGAGCTCGACCAAACTAAGGCGAATTTGGAAAAACAAAAGCGTCTTAAAGAAATGTACATCAATAAGGGCAAAGAGACCAAGAGAGAGCTGGAGCGACTGCAGAAATATAGCAATGCAGAGACTCTCAGCGCAACCAAAATCGCTTCTCAGGTGCAAAGCACCATTAAAAGACACAAGAAAAAGGCTCTTCAGCAGGATTACGAAGAGTTAAAGGTTTCTCACATTACCAACCAAGAGAAGCTTTTATCTGAGCTTCAGATGGAGAAGGAGAAAAGCCAGAGTCTACAGGAAGAGCTTAACAAGCTTAAAAGCCAGATTCAGGACATGAGCCTGAAATATGAACGAGATTTGTCTGCAAGTCAAAAGACTGCATCTTCTCAGCAAGATAAGGCAAGCAGAGAAATCCAGGTCCTCACAGAGAAAATGGAGCAGAAACAGCAACTTATTTTCCAGCTGGGAACCGAGAAAGAGGAAGTCTATCAGACTTTCACAGACCTGCAAAAAAGTTCTCAGCAGAAGGAAGAGCAACTCCTTGCAGATCTAGAGAAGATTCAGGCGTCTTACCAGGAACTCAAAAATATCTCCGAGTCTAAGGTTGTTGAGTTAAAGCAACAAGCAGAAGCTTTAGAGACATCTCTTCACCAGGAGAGAGCTGCTCATTATCAAACATGGCTTAAAGCGGAGGCAGAAATTTACAATTTAAGAGATGAAAACAGTGCTTTTCATCAGGAAATCGCTTTTATTACAAAAACGTCCTCCGACAAAGAGGAATGTTTGAAAGCTGATGTTAAACAAATAGAAACTCAGCTCCAAAATCAGGTCCAACTGAACCACGATCTCATCGCCGAGCTGACAGACAGGGATGGATTTGGACCTCCTAAAAGAAAGCTTGCTCGCCGAGCGTTGCCAAGCCAGGAGCCAACTCCTGTTAAGCTCGACCTGGAAAGAGCGGCTGAACTCCCGTTACCACCAAACGGCCCAGATGCAGAATCTGCTGCAACAATTTCTGAAAACACAGATACAAAACAAAAATCTTCCATCTGGAAAAGAATGAGACACTTTCTGGGACTGAGAAAACCCCAGAGGTGGAAAAAGAAGGACTAATCCAACAAGTGACTAAATTCACTGTCCTTCAAATCTCCTACCTCAAATCTAAAGAAACCCAGAAAATAAATTAGGAAAAAAGCGGGGTTGCGTGGTGGAACAGTGGATAGCACTGTTCCTTGGCTGGAAAAGGTTGCAGGTTCAAATCTGAACTGAATCCTTCTTGCTTGGAGTTAGCATGTTCTCCCCATGCATACGTGGGTTTACTCCCGGTGCTCGGGTTCCCCCCACACACCAAAAACATGAACGTTAGGTTCATTGGAGACTAGAAATTGTCCCTAGTTAGTTATTAGTTATGTGAAGAAGAAGAAGAAAGTATCATTTCTATAGCGCCTCTCAAGATAAAAATCACGAGGCGCTTCACAATAACAAAAACAATGTTAAAATATAAAAAAGCATTTAGAAAATGTTTAAAAATATATTTAAAATGAGCAAAAATAGGCAATTGGGATTTAAAAGAAAAAATGTTAAGAAAGAGAGAGAGTGAATAGGAAAGAGGGAAATCAGTGGATCCTGAGGAAGGTGGAATAGGTGGGGAGAACAGAATAAAGAGAGAGTGGTGAAGAAGGTCATACAAAAGCCAGCTTGAACAAGGGAGTCTTCAGCTGCTTTTTAAAGTAGACCACTGAGTCCACTGATCTCAGGCTCAGGGGGAGAGAGTTCCAGAGTCTGGGGGCCACAGCAGCAAATGATCTGTCACCTTTGGTCTTTAGCCTGGTGCTGCACAACCAGTAGGCTTTGATCACTGGACCTCAGGGACCTGCTGGGGGGTGTAGGGACTAAGAAGATCACCAATGTAAGATGGTGCCTGTCCATGTAAGGCCCTATAGACCAGAACCAGGATCTTGAAATGAACCCTGAAGCTGACTGGCAGCCAGTGAAGCTGGAGGAGAAGCGGGGTGATGTGGATGTGTTTGGAGGACTTGGTCAGAAGCCGAGCACAGGCATTCTGAACCACCTGTAGACGGTTCAGGGAGGTTCTGCTCAGACACGTGAAAAGAGAGTTACAGTAGTCTAAGCGTGAGGAGATGAAGGTGTGGATAACTGTCTCAAGTTCAGAGCGAGACAGAATGGGACTCACCTTAGCAATGTTCCTGAGATGGAAGAAGGAAGAGCGAACAAGAGAACTGACATGAGAATCCAGGGAGCTGGGTCAAAGGTCACGCCAAGATTCCTGACAGAAGGTTTGGGTTGAGAAGCAAGCTGACCAAGAGAGTCTCTGACTTTGGGAACCAGCTTGTCTGGGGCACAGATGAGGATCTCAGTCTTATCTTCATTCAGCTGTAGAAAGCTCTGAGCCATCCAGGTTTTGATAGTCTAAGCAGGTGTGTAACAGCTGCAGCTTAGACATCTCATGGGGCTTAAAGGAGATGTACAGTTGGATGTCATCTGCATAAATATGGTAGGAGATTCCTTTGAAGGAGCTCAGGATGTGCTGAAGAGGAAGCAGATAGAGGAGGAAGAGCAGAGGCCCCA